GTTTCTTATCTACTATTTTCTATTTTGTCATTTTGTTTCTTTTCTATTATTATCTATATTATCAAGACATTATTTGTCACTTAGTTTCTTGTCTACTATTATCTATATTATCAAGACATTGTTTGTCACTTAGTTTCTTGTCTACTATTAACTATATTATGAAGACATTGTTTGTCACTTAGTTTCTTGTCTACTATTATCTATATTATCAAGATATTGATTTCTATTTTATCATTTTGTTTCTTGTCTACTATTATTTATATTATCAAGACATTGATTTCTATTTTGTCACTTAGTTTCTTGTCTATTATATCTATATTATCAAGATATTAATTTCTATTTTGTCATTTTGTTTCTTGTCTACTATTATTTATATTATCAAGACATTGATTTCTATTTTGCCACTTAGTTTCTTGTCTACTATTATCTATATTATCAAGATATTAATTTCTATTTTATCATTTTGTTTCTTGTCTACTATTATTTATATTATCAAGACATTAATTTCTATTTTGTCACTTAGTTTCTTGTCTACTATTATCTATATTATCAAGATATTGATTTCTATTTTGTCATTTTGTTTCTTGTCTACTATTATCTATATTATCAAGATATTGATTTCTATTTTATCACTTAGTTTCTTATATATTATTGATGTACCAATACCAAAAATATGATATTACTAATCTTATAAATGGAGACTCATTCTTCCATTAATGTACCAATACCAAAAATCTTATATTACTAAAAAATATCAATGGATCCTTCAGAATTTCCCTTTGATGTCGAAGCTTACAAAAGGCAGTCTGAAATCGAAGAGAGGTATATCGTCAAACGATTCAGGGAGCGAAGAAATCAAATAGAGAAAAATATACACTTAATGTTAAGAGAAAATATCTCAATAGAGATCATGCAGCGGCAAACCAAAGACTAATAAAAGACTACTTTGCAGACCAACCTACATATGACGATGCAATGTTTCGTCGGTGATTCCAGATGCGAAAACATGTGTTCCTTAGGATCGTTGGGGAACTATCTAGCAGTGATAACTACTTCATCCAAAGAGTTGACGCAACCAAAAAAGAAGGTATATCTCCATTAGCAAAATGTACCACGGCCATGCGAATGTTAGCATATGGTGTGGCGGGCGATGCGGTCGATGAATACATTAAAATAGGAGGTACAACAACATTAGAGTGTTTGCGTAAATTCTGTAAAGGAATCATACAATTATATGAGCCAGTGTATCTCAGAGCCCCAACTCAAGATGACCTGCAAAGAATACTACATGTTAGTGAAATACGGGGGCTCCCGGGGATGATTGGAAGTATTGATTGCATGCACTGGGAATGGAAAAATTGTCCTACAGCATGAGAAGGTCAATTTACTCTGGGAGATAAGGGAACCACCACTGTTATTCTTGAAGCAGTTGCAACTTATGATCTATGGATTTGGCATGCCTTCTTTGGATATCAGGGCACATTGAATGATATAAATGTTCTAGACCGTTTACACGTGTTTGATGATGTTGAACAGGGAAAAACTCCAAGAGTGAACTTCTTTGTGAATCAACGTCCGTATAATATGGCATACTATCTTGCTGACGGTATTTACCCTTCTTATCTGACTTTCGTCAAATCAATTAGACTTCTTTAAAGTGAACCAGATAAGTTATTTGCAAAATATCAGGAGGGATGTCGGAATATCATCGAACGTGCATTTGGGGTGTTGCAGGCTCAATTTAAAATCATTTGTGAACCAGCCCTTTTGTGGAACATAGCTGATTTGGCTCTCATCATGAGGTCATGTATCATATTGCATAATATGATTGTTGAGGATGAACGAGATGCATATTCTCAACATTGGACAAATTATGATCAATCTGAGGCAAGTGAGTCTGGTACGCCGGAACCATTCTCGACCGAGGTGCTACATGCATTTGCAAATCATGTGCGTGTTAGATCTGTGATGCGTGATTCAAATGTACATCACGAATTGCAAGCAGATCTAGTCAAACATATATGGGTAAAGTTTGGAATGTTTCGTGATTAAATAGATTGTTTGTGAGTTGAGTCTATTGTACTAATTAAGTTATGTGTGTTTCATTTTAAGTGTGTTGTGTGTTGTGTGTATTGTATTGCATTTTAAGTTTTTTGTAATTACGAATATAAAATTAGAGGAAAAAAATTAAAATAAGTTTTTAAATTAAAAAAAATTATTTAACTCTTAATTATTTTAATTTAATTTCAATTGATAATTATTATTAATATATAATCAAAAAAACAAAAACATAAAAAAGAAAATAAAAATATGAAATAAAAGTGGTGGGGTAAGGTGTTGAATTTTATTAAATAAAACCATTGTAGTGAGTAAAAGTTGAATGAGTGTTGAATTATTAGGTGGAAGAGAGAGAGAAGATGACGTGGAGTGTAAAAAATGAGAAAAATTTGTGTTGAATAATTTTACCATTGTAGATATTCTTATTGCATGTTATTATATGCAAATATATATAATATTTGTTAGTTCAATAAAGAAAAAGAACTATCTAGCACAAAATAACAATGAAAGTTTAAAAGAAAAATAAATTATCAACTCTGTTAACGGATATTAGTATGAGAGACTAAAAGTGTAGATGAAAAATTTTAGAATAATCATCCTTTAAAAAAAATGTTTAGAGGGACTAAAATTGAAAACAGCTATGTTTAATCCTAAAATCTTTTGTATTATATGTTTTTACTATAATTTTTTTATAGTATTATAGAAAATTAATTATCATAAATTATTTTATTTAAAATATTTTTTTGCACTTTTTTTATTGTATCCAATTAATACAAACCAAACTAATAAGTTTTTCTCAGTTCAAGTCGATTAAGATTTTATCGGAAAAATTTGTAAATCCAATACAAACATATATTAGTACACTCTTACCTAAATTAACAATAACATCTACATATATTAGCTTTCCAATAAATATGACTAGTACGAACATCCCCGTTGCAAGTAAACAAAAACTTTGTTGAAGCAAACCCCAACCAGTGTCCATTCTAAGGGAAGATGTAGCGAGAGCTGTGAACACTTCTTTGCTGTCAATGTGAAGTTCCACTTTCTTCCGCCCTATATCAAAAACTTGTTTCAAGCCTTCATAGACACCTCAAAGTTCTATAACCCCTACTTTGCAAGTGTCTATATACTTTGAGAAACCACCTCTCCAAACTCCATTGTTATCTCTAATCAAACCACCACTCTCCAGTGACAATTTCATGTGTTAAATCTTTTCTACTTGTCTTTCGGAGGAGACCATTTAATAGGTTGAGTTTAACCCTTTATTGCAAACCAAGATTCATCTCATAATTTCTAACTTTTAAAGGTATATTTACTGTCAAATGAATCGGAATGACATAATCTTCCGCATGCTCTCTTTGATTCCTCAAATACTAAATAGAATGACAAGTTAATACCCATATATATTGCTCACCAATCATCTTCCATAACCTAAATTATGTTGAAGATAGTTTTACATCATACCAGATATAACTTAAACACATATTTATTAATAGAAGCAAATATTCATTATATAAATCGATTTATATAAATCGATTTTACAGGGATGAGTTAAGTTTAAACTACATTTCTTAATATGGTACAATAGAAAGATCTCAAATACTTTTTTATTAATATAATATAATGGAAAGATCTCAAATGCCTCATTAGTTAGGCGTAAAATCTCTAAAGAATTTATATAAAGTGTCATCACTCACTTTACAAATCGATTTTATAAGAATAAATTAGACAAAAATCATAATTCTTATAATTGTATCTCTAATATGCCTCACTATTTCTCATGTTCATTTACCTTTAATAAATTATTATTATTTTTAAAAAAATTATTGATTTATAACAACTTATTTATATTAATACACAAAAATATAAATAAATATTACCGTCAAACATCATACCCTAAGCCAACATGTTACACTCATTTAACTCTACTATCATATACCAATTGAACTATCCCACCCGTGTTTTCAACAAATTATTAATATAAGTAAAAAATTTAATAAATTATTAATATAAGTAAAACAACATATAACATTTTAAGTGTTGCTAACTTAGGCTAATTACTAAATAGTTCATATTTTGACTAAAAATTTAATGCACAATTTAAGACAAATAATTCATATCTTATACCCTTAGGACTTATGGTAGCATAGATTTTAACATTAGTCAAAAAAATTTAATATAATTTAAATTAAAAATTTGCCATCAATAATATCCAAATCTATTCAACCAAATTCCATTTTAAAAAAAAAAATCCATTCAACCACAAGCATCCATGATACTATTTGAGAGAAAATGTTAGCTCGAGATAGATTGAAAGCACCTTCAGAGACCTTATTGTAGTTCTTAACTTCATTAAAATTGCCTAGAAATTAGAATAAGCCTAGACCCAGGGATATTGTTCTCAAATACATTATATCATCTTACAACTCAAGTATAGTAATACTATATAGATAGATAGGTGAGGTATATATTACGGAGCAGTACCGAGTTGTCATTCCATAGGAAATAGAATGGTTCACATACTATGAATGAAAATAAAACTGTAACTAGTTATGCAGGCAAGAATTCGTATACAGTCCCCAGCATGGCACCCTCTTGCAAGAACAATGGCTGTTATTCCGAAGACTATTAGAAATTGTCCACTTTAAAAGGATAAGAAATAATGGCAGCAATAGGATCTTGAACTCAAATATTCATGATAACTGCGTTCGACATTTAATCTTTATTACCACTGTAATTAACTTATTATACGTGCTGTCTTTTGTATAATATGAAACATCGCCAGGAAGGAGATGAAACTAGAAATCATAACTCATGTACACTGAAGGCCACTTCTGCAAATATACCTGTTGGCTGCTGGATCCGAGGCAGATATAACACAGTGTAAGCCAGTAATTGAAACAAAACTGATTCTTTTTGACACCCTTTCCATGAGTTGACTAAAATTGTCTATAGTTAAGCTCAGAGACACACAAGGATAAGGCATCTTTCACTTGCATGTTATTCGAGTCCATATCAAGAGCATCTTCGTATAGCCTTTTAGCCTGCTGAAGTAATTTCAACTTCTCCTTACTACTTCCTGGCCTTAAGCGAGATCTCTGCTGTAAAGTCATACCCCATCTGAACAAAGCTGCAATTCAACCCGGTAAAATCCAAGTTAATTAAGGAGATAATAATTTCTGCTTAAACATAGATAAATTGCAACTTATATTAGGGTAGTGCAAATATTGTGTTTGCCGTTTGGCTCAGCTATGATGCATGTGTATGTTGCAAAGACCTAAATTCCTTTTCTCAATGCAGTTTTTCAAACATATCTTTTACTGTCATGTTGAACCAGGTATGTGAACAAAACATAATACTCCCTCCGTCTCATAATAAGTGTCTCATTTACACTTTTTCTATGTCTCAAAATAAATGTCTCTTTAAAATACCAATACAACATTTAATATTTTTTTCCACTATTATTTTTTTTCCAAAATAAATGTCCTATTTATTAGTTTTCATGTTTTTCAACTACTCTACTAACTATAATAAATAAGAGTGTTTTAGTAAATAATATTAATTTTATCATTAAAATCAACACATCTAATCATTTTCTTAAGAACCGCGCAAAATTCAAATGAGACACTTATTATAAGATGTAGGGAGTATTTCTTAAATGGAAAATTTTGGAAAAAAACATAACAGTGTAATACCATCTGGTGCGTAAACATTTCCTTTCAACAGCATAGCATCAAACTTGTCAATTGCAGCCAAGAATACTTTTTCGGCCTCAAAAGCTGCACCCTGTGATATTTAAAAATACACATTAATATAGAAACAGAATGTACAACATAAATCAACATGGTTAACTGGAAGACCTTGAGTTAAGCAAACAAAGTTACAGATGCAATTACACAAATTTCTAAACATAAGTGAAAGAAAGAAGTGTATTAACATGTAATCTACTGAGGAAGCATGAAGAACTGAAACAGGTAACTTAATAATGTCAATAATCAAGATAATGCCTACCGGACCAATATCTGCTACCAATTGACCACGGAAAGATAGTGCAAGGCCCCAATTATATAGGGCTCTCACATCATTTGAATCAATTGATAATGCCAGTCTATACTTTCTTCCTGCGTTCACCAGTAGCTCTTCACACTCTTCACATACATCAATAAGCAATTGCATAGCTTCGCCTTTACTGGTAATTTTATTTCGCAGCTCCTTCAATATTCTACTATGTTTTGCAGATGATGGTTGGATGTTTCCCAGAAGAAGAGTTCTCAGTTCACGACTAATCTTCAATTTTAATTCTCCATGAAGAAGATAAGTGTTTCCTAGCTGTCCTACAGCCAACAAACTCATAGGTTTCAAGTCCACAGCTTTCGAGAGTAAGTTTGCAGATCTATATAACATGAGTTCAGCTTGTTCGCCATCATAAACACCCTTTACAAACTCTTTTGCTTGTTTTAGAAGATCCGTTGCTTCACCGAGATACTTATCAAACATTATATCATCTGAAATCTTTGTAGACGGAGGAGCATTGATTTCATTCTCACTCTCAGACAAGTCATCTGCAAGAAGGTCATCGACATCATAATTCACACCATCTCTATCTTCTTTATACTGAGACCTATCAGACCCACTATCTCTCTTGTCAAGAGAAGACCTGAGAGTTTCACGGCCTTGATTATGCAACTGCTCACGTACAAAAGAAGTCTTGCTCTCCACACGTTTCATTCTGACTTTATACCTTTCAGAATCAAGCCGACTCTCATGGGATTCCCACATGTCTGTCACGCTGCTGGAATCCATCTTCAAAGAGAAGCTATGGTTATTTGTAAACCTCAACCCTTTGTTCTGGTGACTAAACTCTTCTCTATCATGAAACTTGTCAGCGTTTCTGCGATTGTCCCTTACATCAAAATTATCTTTCTGAGAATCAGTACTTATTTTTCTTCTTCCATTTCTGTCCATATCCGAAACAGAGTTAGTAAACAACTCTTGAGAAGAATCAATCTTGCCATTTACTTTACTATCATCAACCAAATTCAAAGACCTGTCTTCAACCGGAGGCAAAGCACTGTTTCCTCGAGTTTGATCCAATGTTTTCTCCATCTTTTCTCTGACTTTAGTCGAATTCGAGCTACCCAAATATTCCTGAAACAGACTACCAATATATTGCAGCATCTGGTACCCAGCTTCTCCAACTTGTTTCTTCCTTCTAGCAGTTTTATGATTCTCAACAAAAACGCCACTAAACTTTTCCTCATCATCAATCAAAGTCTTAACAACATTCCTAACATTCAAAGTTGACAATTTTATCTTATCAGCAGCTTCAACATAACCATACAAATCACCCATTTTAATCTTTTTCTTCTCAATAGAATTTTGCACATCACTCTTCAAACTATTAACCCCAAGATCAATTTCATCAAACAATTCATCCAAACTCTTCAATTTCTCATTTTTTTCTTTCCTCTTATCACTTCCACTCACCTTCACATCCCCGAACGAAAACACTCCATTTCGAAAAAAACCGACACTATAACCAAGTGCGAAAATCAAAGCAGAAGCGGGAAGAATAAGCACCGAAGAAACCCGAACCCTAGAAATCGCTATCGCACAAACAATCCCCATGAGGAACACAAAAGCATTCTTCCTATCATCGATTCCAATCGAAACAAGAAAATTCCGCAACGAATCGAACTCAGCAGGAACTTCTGAGCTGCGTAGTTCATCCCAACCTCCATAAATACTCGAGGTAGCTCTTAATCTGAGATTTTTGATGCCACGTGTCCATTTTGTTCTTGAACTGCGAAGAAGAATCGAAGGTAAACGGGATCGATAGAGAAAACACGAAGAGTGAGAATTGAAAAGATTAATAGGATTTTTAGCAATAAGGAAGTTCATTTCATGGAAGATTCAGTTCTTATGAACCAGTTCTTCGAGCAACGAAAAATTCGAAACGATGGTGACGAAAGGGTAAACTAATTAAACGACGTGCCGTAGATGTCGTAATGAACCACACTACTAAACGCGCGTCGTTTATAGGAATAGGATATATAGAAGTATTTAAAGTGCGAAAACACGAGGCAGTGTTTTTTTGTGACTTAAACGTAAGTTGGGGTTTGAGTTGCGGTTCAACTGTTTGTGAAATTGTCTGTGAGAAAAAACGTAGATATTGCAAGACATGGATTCAATTCCGAAGCCGTATCGAACATGGATTACGGGTGCTGCGGTTGTGTTAGGTGGAATTGCAACGCTGAACGTGGCTTCTACGCTTACACTCAAAGCGCTTCATGTTGTGGCTGAGAATAAACGGGTAAAGATTGCAATTTGTAGTACTAAAAATGAAATGTTTTGTTATCTTTTTATTTGGGAATTGGTGTAACGAGATGTGTTTGTTTTTGTTTGTAGAAAAAGATAGCGTTGCCGTGTATGGTTTGTAGAGGGAAGGGGTTTTATATATGCAAATTGTGTAATGGGAATTCAACTATTGCTTGGTCTCCGATGTATGATCCTATTGCGATTAACCCATGTGTTTGTCCTACTTGCGATGGAAACAGGTTAGTTTAGGTTTTTTTTCATTCTCTGATTTTGGTTTGATTTGAATTTTAATGGGATGGTTTTGTCTTGAAGATGAATTGCAAGGAAATGGTAGTTGATAATGGTTTTTTTGTTGCAGGGTACAACGTTGTCTGAATTGTCTGGGAAAAGGCTATGACTAAATTGTAAAATTGTAACTTATGTTGCTTAATTTTAGACTGTGACTCAATTGTAAGAACTATAAAGCTCGGCACAAAGTTCATGTTGGAACAATTCAGCCTAGTCCACTGTTTACCGAATGAAACCTTGAGGTTGATATATGTGCCTCACATTTTTGCTGAGTTTCAGCTTTCTTCAATAGTCTATTTTAATATATAAAAAGTAATTACTACCATTTTTACGAATATAACCCATTCAAAATTAATTACAATTAATTCAGACATTTGGAATCTCTTTTGCTTCTTTTTATATTATCACTATTGGCCATGTTTATTACCAAGGTCTACTAATATCTTCTCCCACACTCTTTCATTTTCTTTCTCTCACCATTGATCTCTCATCCCTCTCTCAATTCAGTTTTTCAAAGACACAACAACACAATCAAACACCAACAAACAAACTTACAAAATCAATACTCAAACCCAATAATCCCTAATTCCTCATTATTTTTTAAGAGGTTTTAGGGATTACAAGATTTCGAAATGAAAATTATGTAAATTTGATTACTACATCACAAGACAAATGTTTACTTCTGATTTCGCTTCTATCTCTTCTTGACTCTTTTGATCTTCTGCGTTGTAGGTCAGTTGTGTGTTGTGTTGGTGTCTGCGTGAGATGTGGGATTCTGATGGCGTGGTTGTATGAATTTGTGCGGTAGTAAAAGGAAAACGTGAGGGGCTTCGAACAATCCAGTGAGTGAGGTTTTTTTTCCACTTGAAGTTTGTATGTTTATTAGTTACATATTCAGATTTTCCTATGGCGACTAAAACAAAGACTGTCAGCAAGGATGTGAAGATCGATCTCTTCGAAGACGACGATGAGTTCAATAACAAAAAAAGGTATAACTCACTAATCTCATTCATTCGCAGATTCAGATGAAGGAAGTTTTGAAATTTGGTTATACGAATCTTAGACAAGTAGCTTATGTTTCTATAATATCTTGCTAATTGCCATGAATTTGCGCATTATATTTGTCATTATGTTGTAGGTTTAAACTGCTTTGTGCTTGATATATAAGTTTGTTAATATCAAGTTCTTGGTTAAACTGGGTTATTAGAGAGAGTATATGTGACTTTTAAAGAAGCAGAAAAAGAATTATAGATGGTAAATGAATTTTATTGATGTTATGAAGAGAGCTTTTAAGTTGGTAATGGTAATACAACATTTGATCTCTGTATGGAAACATTAATTCCAAATAGATTAAAAAATTTAAAGAAAGAAAAAACCTTATACAATAATAGTGAACAATATCAACATAATATATCACATAGCATTTTCTTATTTTACACTCATAATAGCTTGATGTGATACGGTGGAAGAATTGACTTGGGATTTCGCGTTTGTTTTCGCACTTGTTCGGTTTAGCAAGAGTCGTCACCGACTTTTTATTTTATCCTAAGGAAAGGTCAAAAAAGCACAGGAAAGACCTTTGAGATGTTTTCTTGGGTTCGGGGGGTAGATTATGAAAAGGGAAGGTGCTAGCACCCTTTTCATCCATGGTTATCCATGGGCTCTTAGTTACTTGTTTTAGATCACTTGCCTTCGCTTCTCAATTGTTTGAAATGGTGCTTTGTGTGTGTAGTTTTAAAAATGTTTTGAAAAAGATGTCGTGTCTAGGCAACCTTTGTAATGATTTTTGTTTGAATATATACAAAGGTGTGTATCTTTTTGAAAAGATATTTCAATATTTTGAAAGTTGTTTTGAATTTGTGTTGTGAAGTGTGTTTGAAAAATGGCAAGGATGTTTTGCAAAATTTTTGATCAAGTAACTAAGAGTTTGTCTACCCTATTTTTACTCAAAGATCTTTCTTATGTTTTTAACCCTTTTAACAGTGTTGTTTCACCATTGTATTTGGTGAACAACCTTGTGTTAGGATGTTAAACGGGACAGGCGCGGGTCATCGTATACAATCATTGAAGGCAACTTGTGAGACGCTCTAGCAATTTTGTAAGGGACGAGATCGTTTTATCGAAGGCAACATCGAGGGTCATCGAGGGACTACGATCTTTGTTTATCGAAGGGGCATTTTCTAGAGTGTCTCATACTCGAGGGACATGATTGCATTTTCTGAGGTAACAAGCGAGGTTACCCTAGAGGTGCAAGTGTGAATGGTGTTTGTCATGTTCATGCATTTGTCTTTGTATTAGGTCATCTAGCAATCGATTTTAGATTTTCACATACAAACCATAATCTCTAATCATGGCATATTTAAAAAGCATAAAGTGCGAGAATTAAATCCTAAGCTATTACAAAAGAGTATCCGGGGATGGGGATACAAATTATTTACAAATGAGGATGAGTCTTATCAAAATAATGTCCCAAATATTATGGGTTACAACCAAATCGAATCAACGCAATTCAAATATTAACAAATTATAAGATAAAGAAAACCAGAGAAATATGAGATGTATGTATTTATTTACAAATGATCAAATAAAAATTGTAACTTAAAAAGATTAAGTATTTATTATTATTTATTGTGTTTTATATTTTTTAGGAACTTATACAAAAAAGATTAGTTTAAACATAGTATTTTTTTGCATTTAATTAAATATACAAATATTAAAGAAAATATATCAAGACAAACTTAATTTATTATTTCTCTTCTTTTATTTAACAAAACAAAATTTTTAGAATAAAAAAAATAAAAGAAGAAAAGTATTGGTTCAAAGGAAATTAATTAGTAAAAAGAAAAGTTTGAATGTTAATTAAAAAAAATGAAAAGGAAAGATGATGGGCCTATGAGTTATCATTTGGCCCAAATGAAAATAAGAATTTGGTTAAAGGGGGGGTGCAGGCGCTAGTAGGAATGCTGGGCCTTAGGGGTTTTGGTTTGGGAAAAAGCCCATCTGGTGTTTGAACAACATTTGTTAGGGTTAATTCATTTTGATGTAAATTAGGGTTTACAGTTTGTACAGCGGCGTCGCTCCTCTCATCTTCGTCCTCTTCGTCTCTCTCAAACCCATGGGGCTTCTGATTCCTCCCTCCAAGCTCCAGGCTACCAGAATGTTGCCTCCATCCTCTCCTCTCCACGACGGTATGAGGCAGTGGTTTGAAAGGTAAGTTTTTGTTCTAAGCGCGTTTTAGGGTTTCTCCACAGTTTTACATGTTTGGTTTTCTTAGACGTTATTGTTTTACAATGTTTGATCTTTGATATTTCATGCATGAGGTGTAGGAAAATTGAGAGAAAAGAAAACAATACCTTTGGGGTTTTGTTTCTGGAGAGTGGATGGTGGAGAGAGGGCTTGGAACGGCGACGCTCTTGGTGGCCGGCGGAGGGAGGATGATGACAAGAGTTACTAGCTCGCCTTTCCGGTATCTCTGTATCTTTCTCTTTGAATCGTTTGATGATGATTCTGTTCTGAAAACTTGTTTCTGAATTGATATGTTTTTTGTTGGCTACTGATTCGTTGATGATGATGAAATCTGAGACTATGTTGATTGGATTTTCATTGTTGTTTGATGATGACTTCGTTTCTGAAAACTTGTTCGCTCTTTTCTTCACTTCTAGACTTCTTCCTCTTCTTTGAGTATTGGCTTTTGATGATGAACTTTGTTTGTTCTGAGATTGACTGTTGTTGTTGCTTGGTGAGGATGAGCTTGTTCTAAAAATAACTTCTGAATCTTTTGCTTATTTTTTTTGTTGATTCGATGAAACTAAACTGTGTTTGCAGTTTTGGAAGCAAGCTTGAGTGTTTGTTTCATGTTTTGGAAATTGCAGATTTGCTTTGGGTTTGTAAGTTTTACTTGCAGGTTCTTTGTTGTTTTGAGCTTGTAGTTGGTAAGGCAGGCCTGGATGTTAGCACAGGCAGGCTTGTAACTTTGTCTTTTGTTTGATGGTTTTAGTTTTGGATAAACTTTGAACTTGTTCGGATTTTTGATAGCAGTTTTGCTTCTGGTGTTTAAGTTTGGTTTTGAAAGCAGGCTTGAAGGCTTGTGTTTGGCAGGTCATGCAGTTTCAACAGGTTTTAGTGTTTGAGGCAGTTTTGCAGATTTGCACTTTGTTACTCATGTTTGTGATTTTGGAGGCTTAGCTTGGTGTTTTAACTTGCAGTTATGCAGGTTGAGTTGGGGGTAGTTTTGTAGGTTTGAGTTTGGTTTTGAAAGCAGGCTTGAGTTTGTAACACAGGTTTGTGTGATTTGTGAGGCAGGCCTGGATGTTTGTTGAGCTTTGCTTGATGCAGTTTAACAGGTTTTAGTGTTATTGTGTTTTTTGGCTTTTGGTAAGCAGGCTGAAGTTGCAGTTATGCAGGCTACAGGTTTGCTTGTTGAAGGAAGGCTTGTGTGATATTTTTTTATGTTGTTGGTAAGGCAGGCTGTCTGGTTTTTGCTCGCAGGTTTGGAGGTTATGTAAAGTTTTCTCTCTTCTTTTCCTCCCTCTCCATAAGCATTTTTGATTGCTTATTATCTTTTTATTTCTGAAAAATTGGGTTGTCTAGAAAATGATGAAAAAGCATCTTTGACAAGTTTTTTTACTTGTCAAACAAACTACTTCCTGCTGTCTTGCCTTTTGTCTGTTGTATTGCTGTTTTTATGTTGCATTACCATTTTTATCAAATCTGTCTTGTAACTTGGTTTTGGGCAATTTTGTACTGTAGCTGAATATGGGACTTTACTTGCTGCTGAGTTTATTCCTTTGCTTGACTTACCCTGGCAGTTTTGGCGTCTGTTTGCCTTTTTGAACTTGTAATACAGTTTGGCTTGGTTAATGTAGCTTGGAACTTTTTGTACTTGACCCATGTTTTTGCATTGAGTTTGACATGCTTGCATTTATATTTTATTTTTCTCTCTGTGAACCGAGAAGAGTGATCTTCTTGTGATTTGCAGGGAGAAAAATAAAGCGTGACGAAAAATAGGCAATCTGATTCTAGACGGCCAATTTTAATGATGATTTTTTTTCTTTTCATTTAAAAATAATCTTGTACTGATTTTCTTTTCTTCTTTTTTCAGGTAGGTACCAGT